AAGACACAAAGCATGTTTTATATTTTTTGTATTTCTAATTTTGCCATACCACTCTCATACCTACCTGGTGGTTGGTCCTGTACTATGCTAGCACATTCCTAATGTTTACCAATAATTTAGAAAATAAATTATGACTATGCCATTGTTATGTTATAGTCCTCCAGTCATATAAAATTTTCAGAATGTTAAAAGTTTGCCAGATAGAAAAATTTAGAAGAGTTGAGAGAGAATTAAGGGAGAAAATCTAAGAAAAACATAAATGTGAGTACAGTGTACTAATGGGAAAAGTCAATATAACTTAAAATTTTTGGATAAAAAACTACTGTACAGATATTTAAGAAAAATGTTATATTATGGAAAACTCACAGTAGTCTTAAAGGAGAACCTATTTTGTATTTATATGTGAATTTCAAAAGAACTGCTTTGAATTGCGACTTTATTGATAAGTGAAAACAGATTCTTTTATGACTAAAGCTATAAAAGCTTATAGTTTATCAGTTCCCTCTCCACCCTGCAATTACCTACAGGAAGAGATTGGCCATGGGTTCTATTTTATGAGTTTTATAGGGATACATTCACCCCAAATTACATACTATGAATTCCTGGAAAATTCTACAAACTGAGAAAAGGAAGTGCTTCCTTTGGATCAAAGACATTTTACTTAAACTCGCAGTTATCCATAAACAAGCTGCCCCAAATATTATGTTCAAATATGAAAAATATATTTTATATAAATATGTAGATAAAATATATTCTATTAATGTGTAATAATGCAATATGCAGCAATCTTGTGAACCTACAGAGTGGGCTAAACAATGATAAAAACCTTACAAAACTAAAAATGCAGTGGACTAGGTACAGATACCATGAAATTCAAGAGTTTCAGAATAAAATTAAATTTGTAGAATTTAGATAAGTACATTTATGAATAATGCTATTGTTAAGGGCAATCAATATCACAAACATCTCAGATACATTTTCAGAACTAAACACTCTAAAACACATTAAAGTTTATTATTGATGAAAAATTATGTGACAGAAATTTACCTATCAAGCCCTTAGAAAACCTAGATGTGTAACTGCAGAATGAATGAATGAATAGCTTGTAAATAGCTTGGTCTTATGAAGAGAAAGAATAATAAATCAATTATTTAAATTTCTAATCAAACTAGGATATTTTAATTCCTAATAATTGCTGCAATACTTAGATGAATGCAGTATGTAGATGAGTGTTCCAGGAGACAGCCTGGATGTTGTTTCAACCTGTTGTGGTAGATATGTAGGTTTCTGTGAAAATGAAAGCTGTAGTTTTATAAACTGCCAAAAAATCTATTTGTTAAAAGAATATTGTTCTCATTAGTGGGGGTAGTGGAATCACTGAATAAGGAAGAAGTCGTATTAGTGTTACAGTTTTGGAATTAAAGAAGCCTTACAAAAATCAATGACTGCTGACAATAGGACACATTGATGCTATCTGAATTTCACTGTATCTGTTTTCACTGAAAAACATTCAAAAGCAATTCTCCTCAAATCATAGTTATTTATAATATTCAGCATGGTGTACCGTGTTTTAATTCCAACAGACAATATGAAAAGCTATGGGAACTGCTGCACATATGGTTGTAATTAAAGGGCAGGTATGTTTTAACTATATTCCTCGTGTAATAATCTCAAATAAAAAAAGATCAAACACGTGAGGGAAGACTTCCTCATGCTAGTTACTATTTCTCTTTGATATGCAAATGAGTCCTTCATTTAAGGTAAACATGGGACTCAAGCTCCTATCGACTTAACTATTAACTAACTTTTACACCAGTTTTTCAGGGTTTAGACAATGACCTTTGATTAATCTGAGTCTGATATTATCCTTAACTTGCTGTAGGCTACAAGCAGGTGCAGCATTTAGTTCTTAAAGTGGCAGGATCTAATTATTTTCATATAATCTAATATTATGATTGTCTAATGATTTGTTCGCTTTTCCTATAATACTAAAATGACTGCATGAATATCATTGAGGACAAAAATCAGCGAAAAGGAAGCCACACATTTAACCATTAAATCTGAACTAGGACATTTGGTATAGAGGAAATAAAAGAAAATCTGTAATACACAAGCAGGCAAAACAAGCTACCTATACAAAAGAATAACTACTAATGTCCAATATCTCTCCTAAAATACTAAATGCTGAAGCCAAAGATGAGCAATTTCTGCAATGCTTTGAGAGGACAAGGTTATGTCCAAATTATTAAAAACCTTGAAAAGCTGTCTTCTGCAAAGAAAACTAGGAGATATTTTAAAATATGTAGATTCAGATAATATACCTCTTTTAATTTATTTCTTAAAAATATAACTTGAAAATGTACTCTTAGATATACACTAAGGTAAGAACTCAGAATGCAAAAAAAAGAAAAAATAGTAGTGACTACAGCTAGTAAAGAAGAAAGGTTTGCTTCTTTTTGATGGAGGGGGCAATGCTGTGTTGGGGATATTTGTTTTACTTCCTATCACAGGCATCTCAAAAACAGATATGAGATTATTCCTATCAGAAAGAACAAATTCTAAACATAAATATTCAAGTTCATATAATAAATTTTTAAAAAGTAAATTAAAAAGTGAGAGAAGACACAGAACAGAGGTACAGAGGTAGTTTTATTTCAGGACAACCTATATTTTCTTAGAGAACACTACATCATATTACAGTGCTACAGAATCAAACTATCCTCTACAACCATATATTCACTGAAAAGTTCATTCTAACTTGGAATGTAAGACACACATTTTTCCTTGTTAAAGAGGCTTGAGACAGTCTCATTTCCCTCACCTGATGAATAGTTGTGGCTAGCATCTTGCACTCCCCTAGACCCAAGACATTCACGGTGGTACTTGGAACAAGAGGGAACTGGGATGGTAATGTGTAGAGAGAAGTGAGCTGGAAACTGATGGTTAGGTACAAAGCCAAGATGCACTTGGGGCCCCAGCATCAGCCATTCTGAAATCCTAGTCGACTCCCTTTCTATTTTTATCTCAGACCCCAGGAATACCTCTCCTTTTTGGGCCCCTCTAGTACAAAGTCTGAACTTATAAATATCCCACCTTAAATTTTTTTAGATAAACTTTTTCCCATTTCTTCCATCTCTAAATATTTTCTTCTCTTAATCCCTTTAAAGAAAATGAGGGCATATAGGTGCAAAGGATGGAAATTAGGTAAAATTATATTTTCTGTGAAAATCAGACTTTACTTTCCAGGATATTGGGTAATGAACACACCTGTGATTCTATTTAGAGGTTATGGAGAAAGGACCAAGGTTAACTAAGGTCCTTTCTCCATAACCTCTAAGGTCCTAAGGTTAACCAAGGTCAGTTAAGTAGGGGGACCCTGGAAGAGAGGGACAGTAGAATATACATAGTTTATAGTAAAGAGAGAGAAGAGCTTTAAAAAATCCAAAAAGGAAACTTGGCTCAAGTCAAAACCTAGTTTCTTCATCTGAGTATTTGAGGAGTACTTGTACAAACTAAGTACATTAAAACTTATTGACTGCACAGAGTAGAAATGTTATTAATACAATAGGAACTAACATTTAATAATCTAAACTGGAAAAACACAATCAAAATACCAACAATACCTAAACTACTATTAGTAGGTACTGTTCCTAATTCATTGGAGTTAGTTTGAGATCACTACTCTAAATGTTAATACCATTATTTGTTATGAGTTCATGAGGATTTGATTCTATTATTTTATCAACATGAGAATCTATAATCAGCGTATATACAAAAAACTCTGTCAGGTTGCACTTTTCTAAGTTCCAGAATGTATAACCCGCGACCTCTCGCCCCCTAAATGTAAACACTGGTGCCATAGGAATGCCTATAGGAATAACATAAATTTCAAAAGTTCTGCAAAAATGATCCAATGAGTATATGATTTAAATACATTAAAATAATTTACTTTCTATAATTGCTAATCTTCAATTTTTGAATATTAAAGAATAAAATTTACCTACGTTTATGGCTACTAAAGGATATTTGGAACACACACTATAGCCAACTATTTTTTTAAGATTACACTGATGATTAATTCCTCAAACACTGATCTTTACTGGAGCTCCACATACTAAGTCATCAAATATGTTGTATTAATCAGATGGATTTATTACAAACAGAAATTGGGAGTCAATTTGCCCTTGAGGAAAATGTTATCAATAAAATTCAAATATAGTAGCATACTGTCTTCATTTTCTTAAAAATGTATTAAATAATATCGAAGTTTTCTAACAGCAGGGTATGAGGAATTGTATGAAGTACTTAATGCATAGAAAGGACAAGAAATAAGATTATGTTTTATGAGAGGAAAATATACTCTACATCGTCTTCTAAATCTTTCAAGTGGGAACTACCAACTGATATATATTTCCTATAAACATTATACTCAGAGACTAAATTTAATCATTTTCTTCCTATATCATCTTCATAATTATTTTTAATATACTGAATGATACCATAATTTTTAAATGTCTTTTGTTGCCTGGTAGTAATATAAGAGGGATAAAAGAAAGGATTTCACTTGGATAATAATGAGGCCTTGTAATCTGTAAGAAAACTGAAGCATAATGGCCTTCTTCCACCATTACAAAACGTTCACTCTAAATGATGTTAGTAACACAAAATAACACTCATTTTAGAAAGGGTGTAAATCAATTTGCATATAGATGTACACTGCTCTGTCGAAAGTATAAGTTATTTTTAAATTAAAAACCACTGTTTATAACATTAATATAAATAAGTACCTGTAAAAATGATACAGATTTTATTTTCTTGTATCTTGGCAAAAATCAGTAATTTTGCTTCATCAATTAAAAAACATGAGATTCATTTTCTTGAAGGGACATAACTTCCAACAAAAGGGAGGTGATAAGAGTTTTCTATAACGCCCTCACTGTAACCAGCGTCATTTCATGGCTTCTTACCGGTTTTAACAAAGCAGAAATGCACTGCCTTACCGTTGGTGCTGAATCTGCTTGATGGTTGCAAGGCATTCTTTCTGTGCTGGGAATTCCTATGAAAAGAAAAGATTGTGAGTATTTGCTTATTATTTCTGTTCATTTTACTTTGAAAACATTTATGTCAGTGCGATACGACTGCTACAGCGTAAAAAAGCATCACTTGCACAGCAGGATCCTCTCAAGTTATATCATGAACTCTATGTTCAGAAACATAATTGGCAAATTGGCTAGTTTAGCTAAGAGACTTGACTCCAGGTGAAAGAGGCCAAGTTTCCTATTCCAGTGGCCTTCAGCAATAGCGCAAAACATGTCCATATCCTGCTTTTGGCTCAAAAATTATATATACACCATTATCTCTGCTCTGCTGCATTTCTTCCTTGAAGTTTATTTCTGACTTGAGGTCATCAAGTTTTCATAAAGAAATATCACAAAGGCTAGAAAGAAATCACGTATTTTCTAAAAAAGAATAAATAAATCTATTTGAATTTCTCTTTGATCTGACTTCCTACTATGACACATTGTATTATTTATTGTCATCATGGAGTATCTGGAAAATTAAAATTCCCTTTGATTCTCCCCTTTAAAACGATAGCACTAACTGATAAACTTGAAAAAATTCTTTTCTCATGTGTGGATTTATCTTTTTGTTCCCAATGTTCTTTACTCCATTTCTTTGTAATAAACAGTTCTTAAGGATATAACACACTGCATCTCATCTGTTAAGATACTGGTTCAAAGTCAAGCTCTAGTTAAAAATGAACACAGACGTGGGTCTCATTTACTTTACAATTTCTGTCCATCAGCAAACCAATGAGTTACGATCTTGGAATAATTTGTTCATATAATTCTAAAGGCTTTCACAGGCAGGGCTGGTTAGAAATGAGAACTGCAATGTACTGTTAGTAACAATTAGCAAAATTCCTAGTTCAACAAAGCCTTCGTTCCTCTTATTTATAGGCATTTAACTTATTTTTCCTAAGGTATGATTGAGATTAACACAAAACAATCACTTTTTATCACTCTGCAAGAGTACATTCAAAAGAAACAAAGTACCATGAAACATGATTTAAAAATTTTGTTTCATTAAAAGTTTTTTCCTCAACATCTACTCTTAGCCAGTGCAGTATAAAGGACACACAATACTACCTTTATTCAATCAACTAATATTTATTGAGAGGCTACTTGGTACTCAGTAATAAAACATAAGTTATAAAGGATAAATTATGATTTCTGACCTCAGGAGTGTAGGGGGAAAAAAGATATCCTTTTCTGAAGAGATACCACAGAGGAAATAAACAGTTTTGTATTAAGTGTAGTAACAGTCTTTAAGCTAATTTTGACAGACAGACACATTTTTATTCATACAGTAACACTGGCCTTGAATTTAAAAACATTTTTAAAAAGGAGTAAAACATATTGTAAAATATTCAAATACTGCCAATTTTTAATGCAAGATTTTAATAATATTGAAGTATATAGAACAAATAGTGAAATGAAATCCTCTGTTCCCCAGGCTCCACATTCCCACAACTCTCTCTAGGTGCAAGAACTAAGAACAGTCTAGCGTGAAACACCTGCGTTTTCACTTGTGTAAGCTGCTGCAAAATTGACCTAGACTGATGGTCAATTTTAAAATTCTTGTCTATTTACAAAGTAACTTCAAAATGATGGAAACAAACAACAAGAATCCAAAAGAATCTATATCTTCAGTTTATAAAATTAGAAAAAAAAACACTATGTAATTTACAGTTTAAATTTTGGGATGTGTAAAAAATATAATTTTTAGGAGTGGGTTATCCAAAGATATAATCATAGTTTTAAATTTAGATTGCCTATTGAAATAATATCATTTGGAAATACAATCATAACATGTTTGTTCAAACTTTCAGTAAAGACTATACAGAAAGTTATGTTTAAGTTAAAATATCCCCAAATAACTCTGTTCTATGTAAATTTTACCTAAATAATCTATATGTGTACCTTATTTTACCTTTATTAAGGTGAAAGCTCATAATAAGTAGCTTGCAGTGGGGGCTATTTTTGTGTGTCAACTTGGCTAGGCCCCAGTACCCAGATAAGATGGTCCAACATCCCACATGTTCCTGTGAAGGTTTATTTTGGACAGTGTTAACCATTTACATCAGTAGACTTGGAGTAAAGCAGATTAGGCTCCCTAATGTGGCTGTAGGTTTCTTCCAACTAGTTGAAAGCCTTAAGAAAGACTGACCTCTCTGAAAAAGAGGGAATTTTGCCATTAGACCACTTTTGAACTTGATCTGAAACTCCTCCCTAGTCTTGTCAGCCTGCCTGAAAGATTTCGGGCTTCCCAGCCTCCATAATCATGTGAACCAATTCCTTAAAATAAATCTATCTATATGCACACCCTATGGGTTCTCTTTTTCTGCAGAACACTAATACACTTATTTTATGGGAAACATTAAATAAAATATTATTTGCAGTATTTTTATTCTAAGTTAAATACTTGTTCACCAACTATATTAATGATGTAGAAATAAAGTTGAAATGTACAATTTATGATGGATATTTTAAAATTAGAATACCTCAAAATGAACTTCAGAATATATAACATCTATTAATAATCAACCAATTTGAAAAAATATAAAATCAATGTGTCAATAAATATTTACTGCTAGATTGTCTAGTCTGACAATCTCTGTTTTTTAATGCTTGAACTACTTACATTTAATGCAATTAAAGTATGGCTGTGTCCAAATCTGTCATCTTGCTATTTTATTTCCTCCTTTTCTATACTCTTTTGGAATAATAAAATATCTTCCCTATTCTACTTTATATTCCCTATGGCTAAATTTTTAGATACACACCTTTATACTTTTTAATGGTTAATCTACAGGTACAATAGACATCTCCATTACAGTGTACATGGAATTTGGATTTTCCATTTCACAAATAATACAATTGCCTCAAAACAGTATTATTTCATTTATGCTACCACCCTTTATGCGACTGGTTTATATTTTATTTCTACATGTTATAAATCACACAATATATTGTCAGTATACTTGCTTTAAACAGTCAATAGTCTTTGAGAATTTTAGAAAAATTAGTCTTTTATATTTAGATGTATAGAGTCCAGCAGAAGGCAGGTTGCTTGAGTGTAGCTGGTAGGATAATAATATGAGTAATAGTTTAAATTTGAACATGTCACCTAAAATGTCATATGGTGTGCATGAGTGTGATATTGTTATGTTATAGAATTACATGCTTATCATTTTGTAATAAAAGATTTTATAATTAAAAAAGGGGCATTATTTTTGCTGGACCCTGTATATTTATCCTTTCCAGGGTTTTCATTCCTATCTGCAGATTCAAAATTTCATCTGAGATGATTTACCTTCCCTACAAAATCTCCTGTAGTATAAATCTGCTGGTGACTATGTTATTTTTTTTTCCTGAGAAGTCTTCAGTATCTTTTATGAAGAATATTTTTGCTAGGTACTGAAATCTAGGTTGACAGCTATTTTCTTCCAGCACTTTATTTTATTCTATTGTTTCTTATGAGAAGATAGCCATCATTCCTATTGTTATTCCCCTGAATGTAACATACTTTTTCCTTTCACTGCTTTCACAATTCTTTTTTAGGTTTCATTTTCTTTAGTTTAATAACAATGTACTAGGTGGGGTTTCATTTACATATAGCTTTGGGGTTTGCTAAGCTTTTTATATGTTAGCTTAATGTCTTTTATTGGGGTTTGAAAATTACTAGGCCATTATTTCTTTACCCCTTTTCTCTAGTTTCTTTCTGGAATTCCAGTTATACCTGTGTAGTCCAATTGATGCAGTCACACAGGTCTGATGCTCTGCTACCGCCTCTCCCTACTCTGAATTTCAATTAGAGATCATTTTTATTGTCCTGTCCTTGAGTTCACTGATCCTTTCTTTTTAAATGTGCGCTATCTGCTATTAGACCCATGTATTTACTTTTTAAAGTTAATTTATTATATTCTTTAGGTGTAGAATTTACATTCTTCTTTTTTTCCTTTTCCATTTCTCTGCTGAAATTCTCTATCTTTTCACTCATTTTGCCCAGGTGTCCTAAAAATTATTGAATATATGTATATAAGTTATTTTAAAGTTCCTAATTCTGATATTTTGATCATCCTTCACTGATGGTTCTATTTCTTGACTATGGGTCACCTACTCCTGCTTATTCATATACCTCATTATTTCTGATTTTAGGTTAGAACTGCTAGATATGTAATCAGTGAAGATTGAAATAAAAAAAAAATCTACCTTCAGAAAAGTCTCATGCTTTCCTCTTTTATAAAACTACAATGAAGAGTGGATCTCTCTGTTCAAATCAGGAGTTGGCCTAGGTTGAAGTCTGTGCTGTTGCTTTAGTTAATTTCAAGATATCTATTAAATATGCCCAAAATAAGATATCAGTTGCTCCCTCTAGCAGAACTTTGAGATTGAAGCATCTAGAGATTAAGAGAAGTTGCTCTGACTTTCCCCCAGTTTCCGATCTCACTGCTTATGCCACCAAAGTCCTGTGGGGAGAAATGTTAGGTAGAGATGGCTGACTCACATTTGGGGACTTTCAGATCCTAATCCATCGTGTCAGTCCACATGATCTCTTAGAAGTTCAGCTGATTTCTGATTCAGTAAAATCACTTTGCCTACAAAAGGCGTGCTCCTCTGCTCTCTTCTGTCTCTATCTTAATAAATGTTCCCAGGTATTAAAGTGACTACTGGTGTATACTACCTTAGGGAGTAGGACTCATTCCTCTATGAAATTTATTTCATTTGAACTTCTTCCTGTCCACATCTGTCTGCTGACTTTTTAGTTTCTGTGAGGTCTTCTCAATGTAGGCGTGATGATCATTACTAACCTCCACTTTCACTTAGTTATAGTGTTGCTTCTTAATTTTTATTTTTATTGTTTTTGGTCATTTTCTATCCATACTCCTTTTTTCCCGAATTTGTTTCTAATTTCTATCAATATTTTAATTGTGCTATTGGTTATCTCCCCAATTCTAATAGTAATAAACACACTATGACTTATCCAAATGAA